GTCAACACCATATACAGGTGTTTCCGTTGTCAAAGGTTATTAAAGGTGGTTGACATAAAGAAGATGTCACCAAGTCATTCTTAAACGACTCCATGTCTATTGATCGATATTTCCTGTAAGTAACCAGCTTTTCCACTGCTAGAGGTTTCTCTGGAATCAACTGAAACATGACAACTGGTTGGTATGCCTGTTGTGTTCGTAGAACAAAGAGAAAGCTTTCTGTAGAGTTAGCATTTGTTCATGTCCGTGAAAGAGAAATAAAAAGAAGTACAAATCGACAATCAACCACTTTGATGTCTCACTTCGTTTTGCTTTTGCTCTGTTGCACAAATTAAACTTTTTAATGACAATATCATCCGGAACAGTAAAATGAAAATTATACGCAGTAGATTTTGCTGAATATTTTTGGTCATATTTTTAGCTTACTTGTTCTTCATTTTAGCCACAGGAGAACAAGAAAGTTAAGAAGAAAGTGAAGCCCTCCAAGTTGAGTGTGTCATCCAATGCTCTCTTCAAGGTGAACAGCACCAAAGTGATTCAGGTCCGTATAAGCTCACACAGGCTTAGTAGGACGTTCACAGCCTCCGACTTACATTTTTTCACTCACTTTACTGTACATATATTGTTTGATACCTTTCTCCTAAACGTTTGTTTACCAATAGAGACTCACTTTGACTTAGTTTACACATAACACTTCAAAATTTTTTTAAATCAGAAAGAAGACAGTGGGGCAATAAAGAACATAACTGTGTAAAGATGAAATATACAAATTGAACTCAATTTAATTTTTCATTTTAATAATAAATTAATGTACTTCAGAATTGAGTTTTGAGTTGCTAAATATTAATTGGATTATTTTTTTCTTTAAAAGATTTTTTCAAACGTTATTGTCAGTATTAGCTTCTGAGATGACTGTATTTAGGGGGGTGAAGGCACAGTATCCTACTCCACTTTTAAGGCCACGTGAAAAAGCTTTTTTTGGACAGTTACTGCTCAATAGTACGGTAAGAGTGAACACTACAGACTAAAGAAAACAAATTCAAAATATCAATTTTTGGACCAGAACATATGTTAAGATCATTAGCAAATGTTTTATGGTAAAGGAATTCTAGTCAGTGCATGGTAGGAGTTCTTCCTTTACGAAGGTTATTGAATGTCCCCTTACATAATTTATCAGTACCTAAATGTGTACTTTTTATTACAATTTCTTGTTTATCGCAGATGCAAACCTTAAAGTTAAGATCAATGTGTATTGCAGTGAAGAAATTAATGTAATTACCAAGTTTTATAATTTTGTGTTGACTGTAAATGACTGTTATAACTCTGGTATGGAAACCTTTTTGAGCAGGAAGAAGAGAAGCTTAGCAATAATTTTAATTTTCATGTCCTTTGTAAAGAAATATTTAAAATCATGACAGTTTGTACTTGCATGGAAAAAGCAATATTGCATTTTTCCTTCATATTTTTTTGAAATGTGAATTTACTTTTCCCTGTCATAAAAACTTCAGCAATGAGAGTATTTTACTCATACTAATACATGTATTTAAAGCAATCATTCAACTGAGGTTCAGATTTTTAATTTTGATGATTATATTTACTTCCATATTCATTGAATCCACTTGAAAGTATTGCTTCACTCAATCGAGAATTGAGACTCGCAATAATAACATTCATTTATACCGCGCAAATTCAACTATACAGTTTCCAAATGCGCCTTACAATTAAAGATCTAAAAATATACCTTAAAATCAAAGATCTAAAAATATACCGTAAAAAAAACAAAAAAAATTATAACATTAAATTACAACATTATATCAGAAAAGGCTTTTTTAAAAAGGTGAGTCTTCAAATTACGTTTAAAAACTTGAAAATCGGAGGTGCATCTAAGATCTAACGGAAGATTATTCTATAGTTTTGGTGCGGCGGCTACAAAGGCTCGGTCTCCAAGAGTAGGGAGAGTCCTAAAGTTAGGATTTGAAAGCAGATATTTGTTATTTGATCTGAGGCTGTAGGAAGAATTAGGTTTAAAATTAACGAGAGATGATAAATAATTAGGAGCTGTTCCATAGATTGCTTTGTGAGTGATTATAATAACCTTAAATTCTATTCTAAACGTCACAGGCAGGCAGTGTAATTCGTATAATATTGGTGTGATATGGCAAAACCGTGGTGCTAGATAAAGACCTCTTGCAGCTGCGTTTTGAACACGCTGCAGTTTAGTGAGGGCGCAGTGGGGTAGTCCATATAAAAGTGAGTTACAATAGTCCAATCTGCTTGTGATGAAAGCGTGCACTAATTTCTCGGCAGATTCTATGCTTAGATATTTTCTGACGCGTTTAATATTGTGTAGATGAAAAAAAGCACTCCTACAAGTTTTGGTTATGTTAAAATTCAGGTTGAAATGGCAGTCAAACCAGGCCCCCTAAGTTTCTAAGGGGTTCTTGCAACAGACTTTCAACTTACTTTTGAATGGTGTACTGTCAGAGTAGAATTATTATTTTTTTATCTCCCTGTGAGTGTCTCCTAACTGGCTATTTTACGTTTGCAACCTTCCACCTGCAACGTCACTACTATAGAAGCTGAGCCATTTGCTGTTAGTTTGAAATTGTGGTGTTTTTATATACAGAATGTCATAACCAAGGTAGGTAAAAAGCAAGGTTTTGTTTGTGTTATCATTGCTGGTTTAAATGACATTGGAGATGAAAGTCCTGTTTCAATAGGAACAGTGAGAAATTCAGGTAAAAATTAATACAAATAAGGCACTGTTTGTTTTCTTATTGTGTGGGGCAGCTGTTAGGATTCATTGTGATTGAGATGATTTGAATAAAATAATGAAAAAAGGCTCTCAGAATGCCAAAACGGTGTTTGTTAAGAACATCCTCAAGTCCTAGGATTTCATGGTAACGAACATTTCTGGTATCCAGTGTTAACTGTGGTCTTAAAATAACAGAACTGAAAAATAGTTTGTCAGTAACATTTTTAGTTTCAGGGATCAATTTACAGAAATTCACTATTTTTCCATTCAGCAATTCTTTGATTATGACTTAGCTTCTTGACAAAACTAAAACATTGCTTTAACATCTATCAATTTTCTATAATTGTGTGCTGTATCGAGTCATTTTGTGGCTTCCAGTGCCAAGCAAAAAAAATATATGACTCCATATCAATACTGAAAATGTTTTATTGGAGGTGATTTTTTTGTCATG